ACCTTGAAGCCAAACTGCAAGTGACTACTATGAAGAAGATTTCCATAGTTAAGAAGAATGACATGTTCAATCAATTTGCTTAAGGTAGAAGCAAGTGTAATCGGGCGATAATTGGTACTGCTTGTTGGATCCTTCCCGCTTTTAGGGACAGGAACGACAACACAATCCCGGATGCACTGTGGCAGGTAGCCATGCCTAAAACAAGCTGTGAAGAAAATAGCGAGGTCACCTGCAATGACAGGGCCAGCATACCTTAAATGTTCGGAGAAAAGACCAAGGTTATCTGATTTACCATTCTTTAGGTTAGAAATAGCTTGAAGTACGTCGTCGCTAGACACCTTGATATCCTGAAGCTGAGCAGTTGAGATTGAGGATCTGATCGATGCAGACATGGAGTTTCGAAGAGTAGGAGAATGAGTATTCAATAGGTTGTGCATATTAGAAGCAAACATAATTGCAATCTCCAAAGGATCGGAACAACCATCAACAACAGCTGCTCGTGATGTAGGTGCGCATGCGTATTATACGCGGTCCTCCACGCGGCGCGCGCGAGTGCGTCTAAGCATGGCTACGTCGACCAGGTCTAGCCCGCTCAGCGCATAGTGGAGGGATGTGTGCAGTCCAGCGTTGCTCTACAAACCGCTCGCTACCCACTGATGCAGCTAGCCTGTGACTGTGTTGTGTCGGGCGAGAAACTGGCTCCGTCGACGACTCATGGCCCAGCCCATATACATCAACGCTATATACAACGCGCGCGTTTTGCGCCGAGGGTTTGCACTTTAGTGCTTTTCATTTAATGAAGAGGGAGTAACTCCATCCCTATATACATCAAAGCTCAACATTAATTAAGAATTTTGATATTACTTCCACTTGACTATAGTAAACCATGCGTAATTATTACACAATCTACATCGGCATAACTGTGCAGGCAATTCTAAAGCCTACAAAGATCGTAGAAGACCTTGCTCGAGATTTCGGCAGAGGTAGTACATGTGACTGCATGTGACACCATGTGGGATGATGGTAGTTGGTGGGGGCGGGGAAGGAGGAGAGATGAAGGTTTGAACTTGTGACAGTGCATGGTAGGTGGTTCACATTTTCACATTATTTGTATACAGAGGAATATGCATTGACGCCAGAAAATGTATGCATTCGTGCATTTCCTACATGCAAAAACTTGAACTGTTGGTTTACATGATGTTTTATTTCTTGGCCATGTTGACTATTACCTCATAATCTGGTCTAATTTTGCAGGTGAACTTCAACACTCATTCAGTCTACCACAGTCCACTGTGAAATCCTCCATCTCCCACCATCCTTCCCTCCACCTTTTGGCCGTCTCCTCCTTATCATACCATCACCCTGTATCTCTCCTCACAACACATCACCAGTGACTCTCTCACTTGCTGGTTCGCTATTGTCAAGTTCAAGTTCATGTTATGAGCCCCAAGAGTGATACAACGATTATGCATAAATATAAATAAAAGTATATACTCCATGACGTGAACATGAGAAGAGATTAGAGAGAGTTGGAGAGGATAGTGGCGATCGTGAGGATGTTTTCGTGAACACCTCCTTCAATGGCTTCCAGAACTCCCTCGACAGATATATCCCTGTTGCAGTGGTCAGAGCACACGTGCTCAAAGTACGAAGTGCTCTGGTGGATGGGGATGTTGCAGATGGGACATTCTCGCTCTCCGGAACACTGGTCTGCACATTACACTCAGTAGATGTTAAATTAAACGAGTTTCACGAACCCCGTGATCTAGAGTGATGTCCCATAGCTTAGATCATGAGGAGGCAATTCGAGGGTCAGCAATGTGCTTAGTCGACTGGTGACACTTGGCTATCTCTAACCCCAGTCCCTATATAGAGATCAGAGCTTTTTTTGCTACTTGCAGTACTAATTGAGCATTTTCAGGGTCATTAAGACATTGTATCACGAATGATGTACCAAACTCACTTTCAAGTATAGCTATAGCTGACATTGCTCAACCAGACTGATCTTATAACATCCTCAGATGCAAATGTATATAGGAAAAACGCGAGACCTGAGGTTGTTGCTGGTTGATTGGAGAAACTTCACTAGAAAAGTTAACTTCCTTAGAAGGATGCAAACTCTCATTCTTGGCCAGTGGAGAGCAATGACAACAGCCAGGTATTGGCACTAACTGCGCATGCGCGTTATGCTCGATGTTTTTCCGCCCAACCCCCCCCCCTCCACACCCCCTCTCTCGATCTAGGGCAATTGTCTCCGTTGCGCGCACGCGCTTACATCAATAATAACACAGGACCGGAGATGGCTTCGCGCAAAGATGATTTGAGAGTAGATGATTTGCTCGAGGTCCAAGAAGCGATCTGGGATGCCAGGCCCAAGTGGAAGAACATTGGCTTGGGACTCAAGATTAGGCAGCCAGATATTGAAGTTATCACCGTTAACAACGGTAATAATATTGATGATAAATTTCAACGTATGATTCTCAAATGGCTTGAAAATGGCAAAAATTGTACATGGGGTGTCTTGTGCGAAGTTTTGTCACTCCGCTCGGTCGGACATGATAACCTGGCCACAGAAATAAAACGGAAGAAATGCGTTGACCGAAGCGGTCCTCTTCCGCACGGGAATGTGCCACCGCAAGCCGATGCGGGGAATCAGAGTTTGCCTACAACTCTCCATAGTGAAGCAGCTTGTCCCACAACACCCTCAGGCCCACTTGATAACCCATCTCATGACCATCAGGGAGGGGACGAAACCAAAACTTTAGTGGGCACCGATCACACTATTGTAAACAGCCAACAGAAATTTGCAGTAGCCCCAAAAGCAGCATTGCGTGGACCAGAAATCCATGCAACGCCCTCTAGTTTTAGAGAATATGAGTCTGAGAGCCATGATAGATTGGCTGATCCAGGTTTCCAGGGAAACAGGAAGGGTCATGAGACCCAAGCAGCTTGTGCTAGTACAATGCCCCTGCTAGCAGTGCAAAATTCCATAGTTGCACAAACACAATGCATACCCCCAAGAGAATTTGTAAGTGAAACAAACACCCCCATGCCTATGACATCACCAGCAACATTACAACAGAAACCATTGAGCAATCCCGAAGAATCCAAAGCAGCATTCTCCACAGAGCTTAGTTTACAAAATGGTATCAGGTTAAGAGGGTACCAGGAGGAACTGGCTGGTCCAGGTCTCCAGGGAGAGAATTACATATTTGTAGCTCCAACCGGGACAGGGAAAACTCTAGTTGCTGGCTACGTCATCATGCACCACCTGAACAAGATGCTGAAAGAAGGTAGAAGGAGAAAAGTTGCATTTGTGACTCCAACGCGACAACTAACATTCCAACAGAAGAAAATGCTTCGAGAATACATCCCGGGCATGACGAGAGTACTTGTAATTACAGGGGCAAGTTGTCAACCAATGCATCCGCTAGTTCAGGGTGATGAAGTTGATGTTATTGTGTGCACAGCTGGAAAGCTACGGAGAGAGCTCAAAACAAAAGCCATCGAAATTACCGACTTTTCCCTCATTGTTGCTGACGAATGCCATCACGCTGGCCGCCCCTCCAATTACTGTGACATCATGGAATTTTACATTAGGTCAAAGCTTGCAATGCCAGCATCCACCTTACCACCACTCTTTGGTGGCAGGCCACTTCCTCAAATTGTAGGCTTGACTGCTTCTCCTGGGGCAGGGAGAGGGAAATCTAACATTGTCACCGTCATAGAACACCAACTCTCCCTATGTGCAAATATGGATGCCACATCTGGTATTGTTACCGTTCAAAGAAATGCTGCTGAGCTTGAAGAACATCGAAATTCTCCAAGGAAATATCTTGAAGTTGGCGATGAGCGAAGTCCAAATGATCGGTTCATTCTGCATGTTAACTCCGCTATGGAAACACTCGAGCATTACATGGGCAACAATCCTTGCCTTGCACGGGGCTCATCAGGATACGGCACATGGCTACAAAAGGAGAAAGAAGCAGCAGAGAACAGGGAGGAAGATGAAAGGAAAAGGATTTCAGTTCTCGATAGACTGAGTGTCTACTCCCAATGCCTCATGACCTACAGTGATTTCCGACATGAAGATGCAGTGTCAGTGCTTGAAGAAGTCGAGGAATTCAGAGATCAAACTGATTTTGAACATTTCCTCTTCGGCGTTCACACGGACTTGATGGAAAAACTGTCTCGTTTACCCAAGACCCCAAACCCATTACTGGAGCACATGGAAACCATTCTCCGTGATCAGTTTGCTAGGTGTCCCCAATCAAAAGGAATCTTCTTTGTTTGATCAATCAAACACACGAGATACGTCACAAATTGGATCAAAAGCTCTCCCACTCTCTCCCCCACTATCCAAGCTACTCATATCACTGGCTACAGCCGTGCAGGAGGAATGGAAAAATCTGAGCAGCTTCGAGTTCTAGAGGGGTTCCGCCGAGGCAAATACAATCTCCTGGCTTCTACCTCAGTTCTGGAGGAAGGACTAGACGTTCCAGAGTGCAACTTTGTCGTCCGCTACCAGAATGTGTCCAACGAGATTGCTCAGGTTCAGGCTAAGGGAAGGGCAAGAGCACGGGATAGCAGAATGTACACCGTAGTCTCCACCAACTCAAACAAGGACTACTGGTACCTGGTCGCGGAAGAAAAGCAGCGTCTGGTTGAAGCTTCTCTCACCACGCTGAAATATCTGCCGTTAGAAGATGTTATTCCTTCAAAACAGAAGTCTTTCATTCAAGAGAGAGATCGTAAAGCACTGCAGCTGCAGTCCCGCAGAAGCAAGTGGCCAGATAGAGAAAAAGTCGAAGTTCTCTGCAAGAAATGCAACGTCCTCGCCTGCAGAGGTTCCGATGTGTTTGCCTACACTCTCAGTGGTGATGAAACCCCTCACCATGTGGTGCCTAGTAAAGCCTTCAGCAACATGTATGACAAGAAGGAGCACGACAAGCCAGACGTCTCATACGATTTCGTTAAACCCTACAGAATATACTGTCGCTCGCCCAACTGCAGGAGCCAATGGGGGGTAATCGCAGTATGGGGGGATACAGGGTACAAGTTTCCAGTTTTGAAGTGCGAGAGCTTTCTCTTCAAGTACGGCGAGTCCACTAAGAGGTTCAAGAAGTGGAAGGACATTTGGTTTGAAGTCCAGAGTATCCAGGATTGGGCTGAGTTTGAAGATGATGTCACTCAGGATCCCTAAAAAACACATCTGTGTGCCATACATCCCTTTTGTGTGCATTTCATTCAACATTATGTACCAAGTATACAAGAGAAAATGTTTGTCAGGCACTATTAATTGTGCTTACGACAAGCGCCGTATTTCGCGGACAGTTCAGGATAGAGGGATTAGTAAGTTCCACTCCACTCTCATCCCTATGTTCTGTTGTTGATGCTTAACCCTTAGCAAGCCACAGGCATGTATATATGCCCAAAGCTTCCATAAGTCCATAAGAATTTATATATGGCTATTATACTAGGCGTTAATATAATAATCCGGGTCCCAAACAACCAGTCTCTCAGGCTGAAGACTGTCTTATAATCTGTTAAAGTGGAAATTCACAAAAGAGTGGTTCCGTCAGTCTTCACTGGCACAACATTCATTCAATTCACACAACGTTAATATGTTATACATCAATTTCTGCTTATTTAAGGGCCATAGCGTCCAAAGGATTTTAAAAGTTACAGGGCATCCAAACAATAGTCAAGTGGCAAGTAATATCAAAATTCTTAATGTTGAGCTTTCAGGAGCCATCTTTTAATCGGATTAATAATTGAAGGTTTGTGTAGAGCAACATTAGTACACACTAGGCGGAGGTCCTTTACATAGCGCCTTTCCTATATACGCCACAATGCAAGGGGTCCTATTGCACATGACTTTAACTCAATTGCTGTCTTAACTATACATACACATCGGATTTACTATCAGACACTCTACCCACCTCCAAATGTGATTGTAATAATAGACCCTTACGAAAGATACATGGTTTTGGTGAAGGCCTCCACTGCTGTGGGGTTTGGAGACCCAGTTCAAGTAAGACTGTATTCACAGGAAGGAAGTAAGTTACTCCACTCTCTCAGTTCTATTTATGGGTCAGTCTCTCTTTCACATAGCTCCACAGAGCCCCCCTCCAAATGTTACTAGCACTAGGAAGTCACCCACCAATGCCAGTGTAGAGTGGGATGGGATAAGGTCGGAGGACCTGAGAGGGTGGCTGGTGGACTATGAGATTGGGTATGGCAGTGTGATGATGTCTGCCCACCAGCAGTGCCCAGCTAATGACTCCACCTACACTGAGACCCTGTCTGTGGATAGTGAAGGAGAGTATGAATTGACTGGTCTAGATCCAGGACTGCATACTGTGTGAGGCTGGTTGGGAGGACCAGTGCTAGACTTGGGCCTTTCTCACACACCCTCATACCATGTACTTGTATATATAGCTACATTGTATTTTGTCTAGAGATTTCATCACAGTTATACAACCCCTAACAGCTGAGTTGCCCTGGTAGCTCAGTTGGTAGAGCGCTGATCCTAGAAGGCAGAGTGTCGTGGGTTCGAATGTTCTTTTTTCTCTGAAAAAAAAGAGCTGTCCTGTCCTGGGAGTAGTTGTAGTTTACACATGCATCTATATAACCCATCGGTTCCTTCGTAACAATAAGGTATGCTAACAGTATTTTCACAGTTACACTGACTCCGTCTCAGGCATTCAAGAAGGAGTCCCAGCAACTGATGTTGCCCTCAATCAGTGGTCTTCCACAACTCGTGTTCAATAACTGTCACGTATCTATCTTTGTCACCCAACAGGCAGCCCCATCATCCACCAGTAGTGAAGAATAAAATATTTTTAGAAGAAGTGTGCATACTGTAATGTACCTGAAAAATAGTACAGCTATACACTTAATGAATACATTTTTTGGCGAGCGAAGCAAGCAGTTCGATTTTTCATGTGCATGTTTCACGCAGATTTAGAATCACGTACAACATTACCGTATGTGCAGTGCCAGTCAATGGGCTGTATGTGAAGAATCCTGCATTCAGACGACTAGGCAGGCTCACTTCACTCGCCAATAATTATACATTGCGACAGAACAGAATGCACTACAGTGTGTCATATGAATGTTCATTGGAATGTGATGCAGGGACCGTGAATGTTGCAGCTATGGTGTGCTGCACTCTCCTGACCATCGGGGGAGCAGTCTGGTGACAACATGTGGGATGATGGTAGTTGGTGGGGGTGGCGAAGGAGGAGTGGTGAAGGTGTGGACTTGTGACAATGGTAGGTGGTTCACGTTATTTGTAGGGGAATGTGCATTGACTTCAGAAAATGTATACATTCGTGCAATTCCTACATGCAAAAGCTTGAGCTGTTGGTTTACATGATCTTGGCCATGTTTATTATTACCTCATAATCTGGTCTAATTTTGCAGGTGAACATCAACACTCATTCAGTCTACCACAGTCCACTGTGATATCCTCCATCTCCCACCATCCTTCCCTCCACCTTTTGGCCGTCTCCTCCTTATCATACCATCACCCTGTATCTCTCCTCACACATCACCAGTGACTCTCTCACTTGTTGGTTTGCTATTGGCACAAACTTACTGCGCATGCGCACTATGCTCTATTATGCTGTGTTTCTGTCTGGCATCACTCTGTCTGTTTTTTTTACACATCAAACCAGCAGTGACTCTCTGATATTTCACAATTGCCGCTAGATTTTGCATATGCATTATGCACACAGGGCTCCGGAGCATATGAACTCTGTGATCCCCAGATTGCATGTGCACCACACAGACATAAATACCGTTAGTCTTCCGCCACCAGAATGTGTACCAATGGAATTACTCAAATCAGCAAGTAAAGGGAAGAGCCAGGATACACAACTGACTACGAAGAAAGCTACTTTGGTTGAAGGGCCCTGCACCAATCACCTCTTCTGCGTACATGCGCATGCGTGTGATAGTAATTTTCCATACCACGGACTTTCCCTGGGTAAATCCCAGGGAAACTATAGCGGGAGCGTTAGTGATCATAGGGATGGCGGCGGGTCGAGACGGAGTTTTGAAAAAAGATGATTTGTTCAAGATTCAAGAAGAATTGTGGGATGCAAGGTCCAAGTGGAGGAACATTGGACTGGGGCTCAAGGTCAAAGCGTCCGATTTACAGGTTATCGACAAGAACGAGGGTGACGTCGACGATAAATTTCATAGCATGATTCTGAAATGGCTTGATATTGGTAAGGATTGTACGTGGGGCGCTTTATGCGAGGTCTTGTTGGCTCGTTCAGTCGGACACAGTCATCTCGCCGAACAAATAAGACGGAATAAAGTAGCCTGCACTCCCCACCCATGCCCAGACACGCGCTACTCTGACTGTGACTCGGACCCCCACCGGGACGCGCTACCCCCGCCAGCGCCGTTCAGCGTATCAGTGAATGATTGCTCCATTACAAGCCAAACGGCTTCACGACAGGCGATCCAAATAGGAAATGAAACCAAATCCTTGACTGCAGCTGAAACTGAAGCTAATTCATTGGTACCTATGGGCAGGTCATCAATGAAAACTCACAAAGTCACATACAGAGAAGCAGGAGGTCAAAAGGTGCCCAATGATCTCAGCTTGCAGGCTAAAAAAATCAAATTGGATGACTCAGGTCCCCAGGGGAACACAGTGAAATGCCAAACAATCGAAGAACCTTCTACCATTCCCACCCCCAAAATGCTCCCTTGGTCACATTTCATAGTCCAAAATGAAACCAAGCATTCCATGCCAGAAAATGAAGAAACACATGTCTACCAACGTAACCCAGTGCCAATGGATGCATCACAGCCCAGCCCAGTCACACCCCAAACACAGCCAGCCATGAAACTAAGTGTAGGAAAAGACATAAAACTGAGGGGATACCAAGAGGAGTTAGCTGCTCCAGGTCTCCAGGGAGAAAATTACATATTTGTGGCACCAACTGGCACAGGGAAAACTCTAGTTGCAGGCTACATCATCATGCACCACCTGAACAAGATGCTGAAAGAAGGTAGAAGGCGAAAAGTTGCATTTTTGACTCCAACACGACAGCTAACATTCCAACAAAAGACAAAGCTTCAAGAATACATCCCTGACATGAGAGTGGTTGAAATTACAGGGGTAAATGTTCAACCAATGCTTCCTCTTGTTCAGAGTGATGAAGTTGATGTGATAGTGTGCACGGCTGGAAAGCTACGGAGAGAGCTAAAAACAAAAGCCATCGAAATTACCGATTTTTCCCTCATTGTTGCTGACGAGTGCCATCATGCTGGCCGCCCTTCCAATTACAGCGACATCATGGAATTTTACATCAGGTCAAAGCTTGCAAAGCCAGCATCCACCTTACCCCCACAGTTTGGTGACACACCACTTCCTCAAATTGTAGGCTTGACTGCTTCTCCTGGGGCAGGGAGAGGGAACCCTAACATTGTCACCGTCATAGAACACCAACTTTCCCTATGTGCAAATATGGATGCCACATCTGGTATTGTTACCGTTCAAAGAAATGCTGCTGAGCTTGAAGAACATCGAAATTCTCCAAGGAAATATTTTAAAGTCGGCGATGAGCGAAGTCCAAATGATCCGTTCATTCTGCATGTCTGCTCGGCTATGGAAACACTCGAGCATTACATAGGCAACATTCCATGCCTTGCACGGGGCTCATCAGGATACAAATGGCTACAAAACGAGAAAGAAGCAGCAGAAAACAGGGAGGAAGATGAAAGGAAAAGGATTTCAGTTCTCGATAGACTGAGTGTCTACTCCCAATGCCTCATGACCTACAGTGATTTCCGACATGAAGATGCAGTGTCAGTGCTTGAAGAAGTCGAGGAATTCAGAGATCAAACCGATTTTGAACGTTTCCTCTTCGGCGTTCACACGGACTTGATGGAAAAACTGTCTCGTTTACCCAAGACCCCAAACCCATTACTGGAGCACATGGAAACCATTCTCCGTGATCAGTTTGCTAGGTGTCCCCAATCAAAAGGAATCTTCTTTGTTCAATCAATCAAACACACGAGATACGTCACAAATTGGATCAAGAGCTCTCCCACTCTCTCCCCCACTATCCAAGCTACTCGTGTCACTGGCTACCATCGTGAAGGAGGAATGGAAAAATCTGAGCAGCTTCGAGTTCTAGAGGGGTTCCGCCGAGGCAAATGCAATCTCCTGGCTTCTACCTCAGTTCTGGAGGAAGGACTAGACGTTCCAGAGTGCAACTTTGTCGTCCGCTATAATAATGTGTCCAACGAGATTGCTCAGGTTCAGGCAAAGGGAAGGGCAAGGGCACAGGATAGCAGAATGTACACCGTAGTCTCCACCAACTCAAACAAGGACTACCAGTACCTGGTCGCGGAAGAAAAGCAGCGTCTGGTTGAAGCTTCTCTCGCCACGCTGAAAGATCAGCCGTTAAAAGATGTTATTCCTCCAAAACAGAAGTCTTTCATTCAAGAGAGAGATCGTAAAGCGCACCTACTGCAGTCCCTCAGGAGCAAGTGGCCAGACTCAGAAAAAGTAGAAGTTCGCTGCAAGAAATGCAATGTCCTCGCCTGCAGAGGTTCCGATGTGTTTGCCTACACTCTCAGTGGTGATGAAAACCCTCACCATGTGGTGCCTAGTAAAGCCTTCAGCAGCATGTATGACAAGAAGGACCATGACAAGCCAGACGTCTCGTACAATTTCGTTAAACCCTACAGGATATACTGTCGCTTGCCCAACTGCAGGAGCCAATGGGGGGTAATCGCAGTGTGGGGGGATACAGGGTACAAGTTTCCAGTTTTGAAGTGTGAGAGCTTTCTCTTCAAGTACGGCGAGTTCACTAAGAGGTTCAAGAAGTGGAAGGACATTTGGTTTGGAGTCCAGAGTATCCAGGATTGGGCTGAGTTTGAAGATGATGTCACTCAGAATCCCTAAAACCTTTTTGTGCTGTTTACATTTCGGTGTGAATTGTTGAAGCAATACTCATTTGTGCATTTGTACATTTAAGAAGCATAGTGTCCATACTATAATGTACCAAACAGTACAGCTATACACTTAGTGAATACTAGAACGAATGAAACACATTTTTGGCGAGCGAAGCGAGCAGTTCGATTTTTTGTGTGTGTTTAATTCACACATAAATTATTTAGAATCACACATAACATTACGCTATGTGCAGTACCAGTTGTGATGTTACATTATTTTAAGAATCCCGTATTCAGATGACTGGGCAGCCTCACTTCGCTCACCAATAATTATTAGGTACAACACAGTTTGTCATATGAATGTTCATTGGAATGTGATGCAGGGACCGTGAATGTTGCAGCTATGGTGTGCTGCACTCTCCTGGCCATCGGGGGAGCAGTCTGGTGACACCATGTGGGATGATGGTAGTTGGTGGGGGTGGGAAGGAGGAGTGGTGAAGGTGTGACTGGACAATGTAGGTGGCAATTATGGTATGGCTGGAGATTCAGCATTTCCTACATGCAAAAGCTTGAGCTGTTGGTTTACATGATGTTTTGATTTCTTGGCCATGTTGACTATTACCTCATAATCTGGTCTGATTTTGCAGGTGAACGTCAGCACTCGTTCAGTCTACCACAGTCCACTGTGATATCCTCCGTCTCCCACCATCCTTCCCTTCACCTTTTGGCTGTCTCCCTGAGCATAATCACCTGTACCCCCTCAACATCATGTGCTCAGATTTGCTGGAGTATTTTTGCTTGAAAATGCTGCGTGTCCATTCACAATGTATGGGCATAATGCATCACAGGTTAGCACCAAAAAAAGAGGGATAGGCGATTTTCTGGTGGGATAGGCGCTTGATTATCAAGCAAAAAGCTGGGGTAGGTATGCCAGTGACTCTCACTTGTTGGTTCGCTATTGGGCACTAACTGCGCATGCGCATTATGCTCTGTTTTTACCGCCCCCTCTAGCTCTCCACCCTAATGTGGTCACCGTTGCGCGCACACGCGCTTACGTTAGAGCCAATAATCACAGGACGTTCGATGATGGCTTCGAGCAAAGACGATTTGAGAGTGGATGATTTGTACGAGATTCAAGAAGCGATCTGGGATGCCAGACCCAAGTGGAAGAACATTGGCTTGGGACTCCTGATTAGGCAGCCTGATATTGAAGTTATCGACGAAAACAACGGTAATATTGACGATAAATTTCACAGTATGATTCTCAAATGGCTTACAAATGGCAAGAACTGTACGTGGGCCGCGTTGTGCAAAGCCTTATCGGCTCGGTCTATCGGACATGCTAACCTGGCCTCAATAATAAAACAGGAGAAGTGCGTTGACCCAAGCGGTCCCCTCGCACCGGAATGTGCCACCGCAAGCTCTACGTAACGATGCGGGTAATCAGAGTTTTCCTACAACTCTCCATAGTGAAGCGGCTTGTCCCACAACACCCTCAGGCCCACTTGATAACCCATCTCATGACCATCAGGGAGGGGATGAAACCAAAACTTTCGTGGCCACCAATAACACTATTGCAATCAGCAAACAGAAAACTGCAGTTGTCCCCAAAGCAGCATTGTGTGCACCAGAAATCCATGAAACACCCTCTAGTTTTAGAGAAAATGAGATTGAGAGCCAAGATAGATTGGCTGATCCTGGTTTCCAGGGAAACAGGAAGGGTCATGAGACCCAAGCAGCTTGTGCTAGTCCAACGCAAACAATGCCCCTGCTAGCAGTGCAAAATTCCACAGTTGCACAAACAGAATTCATACCCCCAAGTGAATTTGTAAGTGAAACGAACACCCCCATGCCTATGACATCACCAGCAACATTACGACACGAACCATTGAGCAATCCCGAAGAATCCAAAGCAGCATTCTCCACAGAGCTTAGTTTACAAAATGGTATCAGGTTGAGAGGGTACCAGGAGGAACTGGCTGGTCCAGGTCTCCAGGGAGAGAATTACATATTTGTAGCTCCAACCGGCACAGGGAAAACTCTAGTTGCAGGTACAATTGTGTTTGGGGGGGGTTTTTGTGGGTTTGTTTGTTGTGGGTGGTGTTTGGGGTTGTTTTTTGTTGGTTTGGGTGTGGTGGGGGGGGTTGTGGGTTTTGGTGGGTGTTGTGTGGGGGTGGGGTTTGTTTGGTTTTTTGTTGGTGGTGTGTTGGTGTGTGTTGTTGTGGTTGTGGTGTTGGTTTTTTGTGTTTGTGGGTTGTGTTTGGGTGGTTTTTTTGTTTTTGGGGGTTTTTTTGTTGGTGGTTTTTTTGTTGGTTGGGTGGGGGTGGGTGGGTTTTGGTTTTGGTTGTTTTTGGTTTTTTTGTGTGTGTGTTTTGTTGTTGTGTGTTGTGTGTTGTTTGGTTGTTGTGGTGTGTGGTTGTTTTTTGTGGGGTGTGTGTGTTGTTTGTGGTGTTTGTGGGTTGGGTTGTTGGTGTTGGTTTTTTTGGGTTTTTGTTGTTTGGGTGTGTGTTTTTTGTTTTTGTGTTGGGGGGTGTTTTTTGTTTGGGGTTTGTGGGTTGTTTTGGGGTTGGGGGGTTGTGGGGGGTTGGGGTTGTTGTTGTTTTGTTGTGTTGTGTTGGGGTGTGTTTGGGGTTTTGTGGGTTGGGTGTTTGTTTGTGTTTGGTGTGGTTGTTTGTTGTGGGGTTGGTGTTTGTGGTGGTGTGTTTTTGTTTGTGTTTGTGTGGGGGTGGGTGTTGGTGGTTGTTTGTTTGTGTTGGGGTGTGGGGTTTTGTGTTTTGTTTTTTTTTGTTGTTGTTTTTTGGTTGTGTTTGTGTGTGGGGTTTGGTTGGTGTGTTGGTGGGGGGTTTGGGGGGGTGGGGGGGTGGGTGGTGTTTGGTTGGGGGGTTGTGGGGTTTGGGGTGGTGGTTTTTTTGGTTGGTGGGGTGTTGGTTGTTGGGTTTGTTTTGTTTTTGGGTGGTTGGTGTGTTGTTTGTTTTTTTTTTGGTGGTGTGGTGTGTGGGTTGTGTGTTTTTGGTTTGGGGTGGTTTTTGTTTTTTTTGTTTGTTTGGGTGAGTTCTGGGGTGGTCCCTCTTTGTTTTTCCTTTGTTTCCCAGTTATGGCCCGTCGCTCTTTCTCCTCCGCTCATGCACCACCTGAAACAAGATGCGAAGAAGGTAGAAGGCGAAAAATGCATTTTGACTCCAACGCGACAAACTAACATTCCAAACAGAAGACAAAGCTTCAAGAGTACATCCTGGCATGAGAGTGGTTGAAATTACAGGGGCAAGTTGTCGACCAATGCATCCACTTGTTTCAGAGTGATGAAGTTGATGTGATAGTGTGCACGGCTGGAAAGCTACGGAGAGAGCTAAAAACAAAAGCCATCGAATTACCGATTTTCCCTCATGTGTGCTGACGAGGGACATCATGCTGCCGCCCTTCCAATTACAGCGACATCATGGAATTTTACATCAGTCAAAGCTTGCAAAGCCAGCGCCACCTTACCCCCACAGTTTGGTGACATAACTGCGCTTCTCAAATTGTAGGCTTGACTGCTCTCCTGGCAGGGAGAGGGAAACCTAATATTGTCACGTCATAGAACCACCAAACTCTCCATATGTGCAAATATGATGCCACATCTGGTATTGTTACCGTTCAAAGAAATGCTGCTGAGCTTGAAGAACATCGAAATTCTCCAAGGAAATATCTTGAAGTCGGCGATGAGCGAAGCCCAAATGATCCGTTCATTCTGCATGTCTGTTCGGCTATGGAAACACTCGAGCATTACATAGGCAACATTCCATGCCTTGCACGGGGCTCATCAGGATACAAATGGCTACAAAACGAGAAAGAAGCAGCAGAAAACAGGGAGGAAGATGAAAGGAAAAGGATTTCAGTTCTCGATAGACTGAGTGTCTACTCCCAATGCCTCATTACCTACAGTGATTTCCGACATGAAGATGCAGTGTCAGTGCTTGAAGAAGTCGAGGAATTCAGAGATCAAACAGATTTTGAACATTTCCTCTTCGGCGTTCACACAGACTTGATGGAAAAACTGTCTCGTTTACCCAAGACTCCAAACCCATTACTGGAGCACATGGAAACCATTCTCCGTGATCAGTTTGCCAGGTGTCCTAAATCAAAAGGAATCTTCTTTGTTCCATCAATCAAACACACGAGATACGTCACAAATTGGATCAAAAGCTCTCCCACTCTCTCCCCCACTATCCAAGCTACTCACATCACTGGCTACAACCGTGAAGGAGGAATGGAAAAATCGGAGCAGCTTCGAGTTCTAGAGGGGTTCCGCCAAGGCAAATACAATCTCCTGGCTTCTACCTCAGTTCTGGAGGAAGGACTAGACGTTCCAGAGTGCAACTTTGTCATCCGCTATCAGAATGTGTCCAACGAGATTGCTCAGGTTCAGGCAAAGGGAAGGGCAAGAGCACAGGATAGCAGAATGTACACCGTAGTCTCCACCAACTCAAACAAGGACTACTGGTACCTGGTCGCGGAAGAAAAGCAGCGTCTGGTTGAAGCTGCTCTTGCCACACTAAAAGATAAGTCTTTAAAAGATGTTATTCCTTCAAAGCAGAAGTCTTTCATTCAAGAGAGAGATCGTAAAGCACACCTACTGCATTCCCTCAGGAGCAAGTGGCCAGACACAGAAAAAGTAGAAGTTCTCTGCAAGAAATGCAACATCCTCGCCTGCAGAGGTTCCGATGTGTTTGCCTACACTCTCAGTGGAGATGAAAACCCTCACCATGTGGTGCCTAGTAAAGCCTTCAGCAACATGTATGACAAGAAGGAGCACGACAAGCCAGACGCCTCATACAATTTCGTTAAGCCCTACAGGATATACTGTCGCTCGCCCAACTGCAGGAGCCAATGGGGGGTAATCGCACTGTGGGGAAATACAGGATACAAGTTTCCAGTTTTGAAGTGCGAGAGCTTTCTCTTCAAGTATGGCGAGTTCACTAAGAGGTTCAAGAAGTGGAAGGACATTTGGTTTGGAGTCCAGAGTATCCAGGATTGGGCTGAGTTTGAAGATGATGTCACTCAGAATCCATAAAACCTTTTGTGTGCTGTTTATTTAACATTTGTTGAAGCAATACTTTTTTCGGGTTGCGCGTAGCTAGCTCTGAAGCCCTCCTCGCTGCGCATGTGCGCTGAGGGCTATTAATTGTGGCTGGGCCCTATGTTCTATTTAAGTAACACTAAATTTAGCCCTCTGCACACATCGTGGGCGGAATTTTACAGAGGCTAGGGCGGGGCATGCAGTCAGTCGAGATGTAGCTAGGAGTCGGGCGGGCCATGGAACTAATAAGCGAAGATGATTTGTTCAGTGTTCTTGGTCTGCTCTGGGATGCTCGGCCCAAATGGCGACTCATTGGACTGGGACTCAAGATTTCGCAGGCCGATTTGAACGTTATTGATAGGGACAACCATGATACCGACGCTAAGTTTCGCAGTATGTTTGAACAGTGGCTAAAAAATGGCAAAAATTGTACCTGGGACGCCATATTCGAGGTGTTGTCGGCCCGTCACGTCGGATGTAAGACACTTGCCGACAAAGTGAGACAGAGGCGGCAAAAATGCGCCGACGGCGGCGAAGCCCTCCTGCAAGTTCAAAATGCCTCGAATGGCGCAACCACTGAAACTTTACAAAGTCAAGCGGCTTGTCTTGAGCCTGCTGACCGAGAATCCCAGCCTCTAACAGGCACTAGTGACGCTAAAACCTGCGCCACACTTTCCCAAGAGCAACCTTCCCCCGTGAAAATGCTGGGACCTACCATAATAAAACCAAGTAATACTTGCATGGCAGCGGTAAGTGGTCCAGAAAAGAGTAGTATCCCACATATGCCACAGAAAGAGCTCAGTTTGGAATTAGCTAACGACATGAAAAGGCTAGATGATCCAGGTCCCCAGGGAATAGACTGTAGTCCCACTCCCACTATTATCTTGAGGTCTGACTTGGCACAAACCCAGCTCCCATCCCAAATAACGGTGCAAAGTGAAACAACAAGCTTTTCAACCAAAGATGAGCCTGCCTGTGCAGTTGTCGCAACACACGTGGATTCAAATGCACCTAAAGCCTCGTGCCAGGCTGTATTTACTGTCCCAGAAGAGACAAAAGAAGCAACAAAAGAACTAAGTTTGAAAGAAGACATAGAATTGAGGCACTACCAAGATGAATTAGCTGACCCAGGTCTCCAGGGAAAGAATTACATTCTTGTTGCACCAACCGGCTCAGGGAAGACTCTAGTTGCTGGCTACATCATCATGCACCACCTCAACCAGATGCTGAAAGAAGGAAAAAGAGGAAAAGTTGCATTTGTTACCCCAACAAGACAGCTAACTCTCCAACAAAAGACGGTGCTTGAGTATTACGTCCCTGGACTAAGGGCAATGGATATCACAGGTGCTAGTGGTAAACCAATGCAGCCCCTTGTTTGGAGCGAAAGTATTGATGTTATTGTTTGCACAGCAGGCAAACTACGAGGAGAACTCAAAACAAATGGTGTTAAAATTACAGATTTATCTCTTATTGTTGCAGACGAATGCCATCATGCTGGCCGTTCCTCTAATTACAGTGATATCATGGAGTTCTACATCAGGTTAAAGTTAACAGAGACATCAAGGTTGCTCCCCCAAGTTGTAGGCATGACAGCTTCTCCTGGGGCAGGGAAAGGAAAATCTAACATCAGCACAGTCATGGAGCACCAACTCTCCCTTTGTGCAACCATGGATGCCACATCTGGCATCATGGCTGTTGGAAAGAATGTTGCTGAACTCGAAAGTGTTCGCAATACTCCAAAATCCTACATTGAGGTCAAAGAAGAACGTGACTCCAACGATCCCTTCATTTTACACATTTGCCCTGCCATGGAGACACTTGAGCAATACAGTTCCCTTGGTTCCTCCCTGGCAAGGGGCTCATCAAAATACAATTCGTGGCTACAAAACGAGAAAGAAGCAGCAGAAAACAGAGTAGAAGACGAGCGAGAAAGGATTTCAGTTCTCGATAGACTGAGTGTCTACTCCCAATGCCTCATGACCTACAGTGATTTCCGACATGAAGATGCAGTGTCAGTGCTTGAAGAAGTCGAGGAATTCAGAGATCAAACAGATTTTGAACATTTCCTCTTCGGCATTCACACAGATTTGATGGAAAAAACTGTCTCGTTTACCCAAGACCCCAAACCCATTACTGGAGCACATGGAATCAGTCCTCCGAGACCAATTTACCAGGCTTCCCCAGTCGAAAGGGATCTTTTTTGTTCGCGCTATCAAACACACCAGGTATGTCACAAATTGGATCAATAATTCTTCCACTCTCTCCCATATCATCCGAGTCGCCCCTATCACTGGCTACAGTCGTGGAGGAATGCAAATATCTGAGCAGCTTCGAGTTCTAGAGGGGTTCCGCCAAGGCAAATACAATCTCCTGGCTTCTACCTCAGTTCTGGAGGAAGGACTAGACGTTCCAGAGTGCAACTTTGTCATCCGCTACCAGAATGTGTCCAATGAGATTGCTCAGGTTCAGGCAAAGGGAAGGGCAAGGGCACAGGATAGCAGAATGTACACCGTAGTCTCAACTAACCCTAATAGGTACTACTGGTACCTAGTCGCAGAAGAAAAGCAGCATCTGGTTGAAGATTCTATAACTGCATTACAGGACAAACAAATAAACACGCTTATTTCTCCAAAGCAGAAGTCATTTATTGAAGAAAGAGATCGTAAAGCAAGACTTATTAAAAGCCTTCGAAGTCAATGGCCAGACCCAAAAAATGTCGAAGTTCTATGCAAGAAGTGCAAAGTCTTTGCCTGCAAAGGCTCTGATATCTTTACATACGCTCTAAGTTGTGCAGACCTTCAATATGTTGTTCCAGACAAATCTTTTAGAAGTAAGTATGACAAGAAAGAACACGACAAACCCACAGTTTCTGATGATTTTGCTAAGCCGTACAAAATATATTGCCGCTCTCAAAACTGCTGGAGCCAATGGGGGGTAATTGGTTCATGGGGGGATACCGGGTTCACGTTTCCGGTCTTAAAATGCAAAAGGTTTCTCTTTAAGTATGGACAAGAACCGCAACTATTTAAGAAATGGAAGGATATTTGGTTTGAAATTCAGGATATCAAAGATTGGGCCGATTTTGAAGACGACATCAACGAAAAGAGCAATGTGCTGTAGCATATATACTGCAGCCAAATGTTGCTTCACCTTTGTACCCTTACATACTCACCTGCCAGTACCCATGTCTCTTCTCATACTCTCCCTTGTACACTATCATCTGATGTATGTTTTATGCCTGTCCACCATTACACTTTGTGGCACTGTTTTCTTGCTATTTCATGCATGTCTGAAGCTAAAAGTAATGCACCACAAAACGAAAATGCTATATACAACCACTCGACAGGAATTGGAATTCGGTAGCTAATGGTAATTAAGAGCTGGGGAGGGGTTGGTTTAGGATTGTTTGTGGCTGTCTGACATGACGATGGGGGGTGGTATATATTGCACCATACTTTACAGTAACTAAAACTCAATGATACACGGTTTACATGCTTCATTTATAATGCAAGCAGTTAAGTTGTGATACATGGAAATTTCTGGCTATTGAAGCTATAATGACACAGCTGTGGGAACCTTCTTGCTATATAGTTTGATAAGCTGTTGTACATGCACCTTTCTGGCTGTTTGTTATCCTCAGATCCATTGAGTTGTAATGTGCTGTGACAAGGATTCCCATTGGTCTCTCCCTGCCTCCTGGTGGAGGGAAGGCCACTGAATTCTCTTGTGGAAAACCTCTCCACAGTATATATACTTGTACCTGTATTTCCAGTCTTAGTGGTGCTATTTCATTACAATTCCCTATATACTAACCACTGTGTCACTGAGTAGAAGGTCTGCTCAATATACTTGCCAGGTCTCTATGTCTCGTCAACTATGGTGTTTTATTTTTACCTCTCTTTCTCCTCCCTGTAGCTACCACTGCTCTCTTCTTTCCCTTCTCTTACCTTCACTCTCTCCTGCAGACTAGTGATCTAAACGATGCTCAGTGCAGTCGGAGGGCCCAGCAACATCAAGGCTAATGACCAAAACGACCCATACCCTACTACTTCTCTCTCTTCACCCACGGCTTTGGGAACCCAGCCATCAACACCAGTCTGACTGTTGTACCTCCAGGAACTTCTGGCCTTCTACGACGGACGGAAACCTGTCCCAGCCAGAGAACAGGTTCTCCGCTTTTGGTGGGAATGAAACATCCACCATGGAACCGGGAAGCTTGTCAACGCAGGTTGCCCCATCCTGCGTATGCCACCGGTCCAGTGGCCATCCCAAATACCGATCCTCACTCTGCGCACCACAGTCAATCTTCCACTGGGAATCCATCAGCTCTCCCGCCAGACATAGCTACTACCTTATAGCTCCCTCTCCTCGTCAATGTTTTCTTGCAGGAATGTTTGGAATAAAACTTTAGCTAGTGTTTTTGCTGTTATTCAGCACCTCACTGAGTTCTAAGTGCCGATGCAAGCAACACAATGTCATCAGCATAACAAACAGAACCAGCAAACAAGTTGCCCCAATGACAACCAACACCAGAAGCAGCCAATTTCTGAAGCAAACCATCCAAATACACAGAAAACAAGACAGGAGAAAGGACACCACCTTGCCTGACACCATTAGACACTTTAAAATAGCCCAGCCCGTCATTAGCGGATGCGCAGTTCGCCAGACGGTTTGCACTTAATGCTTTTCGGAATAAATTTACATACACAATTCTAGTTTCATGCTTACTTATGTTACTTAGTTGGTTTCACTTTTTTCTCAGTGTTTCCTCACTTTCAATTAGTTTGTTCACTTTACTGGCCTGTTTATAACTCTCTTTACTGATGAAGCGAACTGAGGGGGGATGGGGAAAGAATACATTATTACATATTATAATTTAAGAGAGATTTGAAAAAATTATAGGCAGAGGCCTTTGCAGCGACTTTTTCGATGTTGCTTCACTGTATAGCTACAGTGGCCACATACTTTGAGGGTCAGCTCAGTCTCGCTTATATCTGCTATCTGCTAACTGTGCAGATAATTGTGGTCCTGGCGTTTCCACCCAGGGACTGCTTCAGGATGTACGTGAGCTTGGACTGCCTTGGAGTCCCTGTATGGGATGTGAAGACTGAGACAGACAGGGAGGGATTGGAATGGAGACTGCAGAAGAGCAGAAACGTTACCTGGGCTTGCTTGACTTCGCTGAGCCTGCACATCTACTCAGACTGAATACCGCAGTGGACCGACTACTACGTTTATTGATATCGGTTTTTTTCTCCAAGGAGCGATAGATGGGGCGTACAAGAAAGAGCAAGAGAGAGAGAATTAACGATAGAGAGAGAGATCAGAGTTTTAAAGCATTAACTCACTGTTGCCGGCACTGATGACTCTGATCACCTCCATCGTCCTGTTGGGGTGGTGGTGTTGAAGTTAGAAACATTCATTCATGCACATGCATAAACAGTTTTACTGTGCCAGCTGGAAAACTGAAATGAGGCCATACATGTTGACAATAGGTTATGACCATTATGCATGTACAATTATACATCTGTTCAGAATACACTCTTATTATGTTCCAGAAGGACCCAGGAGGTCACAGATCCTCTGTGAGAATAATACGTTATGTGATTGGGTGACACCACAAAGGTATATTACCTCTGTGTGTATCTCGAAGTAAGATGGTTCCATGCGTATCTCGAAGTAAGATGGTTCAGGTCCACTCCCTGTCATTGTGTGTGTCTTCCCACTGGAAGTCTGCCCGTACACAAACACAGTTCCTGAGGGGGGAGGAAGGACAGTTAGAATCCAATGACTTCATCATGGAAACTGGGCGGAAAGTCTTACCATTGATGCCCTGCACAGGTCTTTTAAACTGGACGTTTCGTCAAACACATGGTCTACCAGTACATAAGAGCTCATTGTAAAGTGCAAACCCTCGGCGAACTGCGCATGCGCGTGATACTGCTAATTGATGGGCTGGGCTATTCATGCGTTTACTCCGTGGTCTCCCGCTAGTATAATAGCTCGCGGAGAGTCTTGACACTGGCTAGCTACAGTAGTAGATAGCATGCGGGAGTCCATTCGTTGTGACTTCCTGAGCCACCAAGGTACACAGGAGCGAGCGGATCAGGTCGCGGTAAGCCCAGTGCTAATATGCAATTTGGCTTTTTCGCTTGTTTTCACGGCATATCTCTCGAACGCAGTCGTTTCAGGGAAATCGCCTAATAATTTTTCAGGTTCGGGTAGTTATGAAGCCGTTGGTATCGCCCATTCGCCACCCCGTAGCCTGTAGTGCCAGAATAAGCGTCGACACACAGACAGACAGACAGACAGACAGACAGACAGACAGACAGACAAACCAACTACCGTACAAAGGTTCAAAGGTTTTAATGCACTGCAAAGCCAAACAAGAATAGGCACGGCATGTTTTAAAAAAATAAAGTTACTTGTAATGTCTAGCATACATGAAAATATCAGAAGTAGCGGACGAAAGAGAGTTGATAATCTGGTCTGGGTCTGAGAGAGGCGTGTGAGAGAGAGTATAGTGATGAAAGTAAGAAACATCCATTGTGGCACCACAGAGATGGCAGATGCCTGGCTGAAACTGTGGCCTGGTCAATTCGCGATAAAGGGCCTGTAGAGAGTCAGTACCACGAGGTCCGTAATCAAGTGCCATGTCCCACAGCTTCATCCAAGATGTATCAGCAGCTATTCCTGATGCAATCGCTGTACTGTTGTGACGGCTGGCCTCGGTGGTGCAGGCCTCCCAGTCTGCCTGTAATACTTCTCGCTTTAATAAAGAGGGAGTAACTCCATTCCTATACATCAAAGCTAAACATTGAAATTTGATATTACTTTCCACCTGACTATATATGTTTTTATACTAAACCATTTGCAGGTGAACTTCAACACTCATTCAGTCTACCACAGTCCACTGTGATATCCTCCATCTCCCACCATCCATCTCTCCACCTTTTGGCCGTCTCCTCCTTATCCTCACACATCACCCTGTATCTCTCCTCACACATCACCAGTGACTCTCACTTGTTGGTTCGCTATTGGCACTAACTGTGCATGCGCACTGTGCTCTATTATGCTGTGTTTTTGCTGCTCTCTCCACCCTCTCTCTGGCATCACTCTGTCTGTTTTTTACACATCAACCACAAGCAGTGACTCTCTGATATTTCATGATTGCCGCTAAACTGTGCATATGCATTATGCACACAGGGCTCTGGAGCATATGAATGTGATCCCAGATTGCATGTGCACCAAACAGACATAAATTACATGTTCTTTGCGTAAATTAGCCTATACTTTTAGGATTGCAAATCACGCATAGTTCAAAGTTTCATGAAAGCCCTTTGTAATAAAACTGATCAGGCTGGCTAAAGTCATGAATTAATTTGAGTTGCCACGGTAATATCTTTAGTCTTCTGCCACCAAAATGTGTAAAAAAAAAAGTGAAAACCGTACCGCTAATGGATGAGCTGGGCTATTGGCGTCACTTTGGTTGAAGGGCGGGCCCCTGCACCAATCACCTCCTCTGCGTACATGCGCATGCGTGTGATAATTTGGACTTCCCCTGGGTATATCCCTGGGAAACTAAGCGGAAGTGTTAGTGATCGTGCTGGGATGGCGGCGGGTCGCGACGGGGCTCTGAAAGAAGATGATTTGTTCGAGATTCAAGAAGAATTGTGGGATGCAAGGTCCAAGTGGAGGAACATTGGACTGGGGCTCAAGATCAGAGCGTCCCATTTACGGGTTATCGACCAGAACGGGGATAACGTCGACGATAAATTTCAGAGCATGATTCTGAGATGGCTTCATATCGGTAAGGATTGTACGTGGGGCGCTTTATGCGAAGTCTTGTTGGCTCGTTCAGTCATCTCGCCGAACAAATAAGACGGAATAAAGTAGCCTGCACTTCCCACCCATGCCCAGACACGCGCTACTCTGACCGTGACTCGGACCCCCAACGGGAAGCGCGGTGTAATGTACCCCCTGCAACGCTGTTAAGCGTATCAGTGAAGGATTGCTCCATTACAAGCCAAACAGCTTCACGAGAGGCGATCCAAATAGGAAATGAAACCAAATCCTTGACTGCGACTGAAACTGAAGCTAATTTGCTGGTGCCTATGAACAGGTCATCAATGAAATCTCAAAAAGTCACATACAGAGAAGCAGGAGGTACCTCAGATTTTCCCGATAAACCTCAAAAGGTGCCCAATGATCTCAGCTTGCAGGATAAAAAAATCAAAGTGGATGACACAGTGAAGAGCCAAACAATTGCAGAACCTTCTACCATTCCCATCCCAAAAATGCTCCCTTGGTCACAAAATTCTCATTTCATAGTCCAAAATGAAACCAAGCATTCCATGCCAGAAAATGAAGAAGCACATGTCTACCAACGTAACCCAGTGCCAATGGATACATCACAGCCCAGCCCAGTCACACCCCAAGCACAGCCAGCCATTAAACTAAGTGTAGGAAAAGACATAAAACTGAGGGATACCAAGAGGAGTTGGCTGCTCCAGGTCTCCAGGGAGAAAATTACATATTTGTGGCACCAACTGGCACAGGCAAGACTCTAGTTGCTGGCTACATCATCATGCACCACCTCAACAAGATGCTGAAAGAAGGTAGAAGGCGAAAAATTGCATTTTTGACTCCAACGCGACAACTAACATTCCAACAGAAGACAAAGCTTCAAGAATACATCCCTGGCATGAGAGTGGTGGAAATTACAGGGGCAAGTGTTCAACAAATGCTTCCTCTTGTTCAGAGTGATGAAGTTGATGTGATTGTGTGCACGGCTGGAAAGCTACGGAGAGAGCTCAAAACAAAAGCAATCGAAATTACAGATTTTTCCCTCATTGTAGCTGACGAGTGCCATCATGCTGGTCGCCCCTCCGATTACAGTGACATCATGGAATTTTACATCAGGTCAAAGCTTGCAAAGCCAGTGTCCACCTTACCCCCACAGTTTAGTGACACCCCACTTCCTCAAATTGTAGGCTTGACTGCTTCTCCTGGGGCAGGGAGAGGGAAATCTAACATTTTCACCGTCATAGAACACCAACTCTCCCTATGTGCAACCATGGATGCCACATCTGGTATTGTTACCGTTCAAAGAAATGCTGCTGAGCTTGAAAAAAATCAAAATTCTCCAAGGAAATATCTTGAAGTTGGCGATGAGCGAAGTCCAAATGATCCGTTCATTCTGTATGTTAACTCCGCTATGGAAACACTCGGATTACGTAGGCAACATTCCATGCCTTGCACAGGGCTCACTCAGGATACGGCACATGGCTACAAAACGAGAATGAAGCAGAGAAACAGGGAGAGATGAAAGGGAAAAAGGATTCAGTTCTCGATAGACTGAGTGTCTACTCCAATGCCTCACTTACCTACAGTGCTGTTCGACATGAGATGCAGTGTCAGTGCTTGAAGAAGTCGAGGACATTCAGAGACATACAAACCGGTATGTGAACGTTCCTCTTCGGCGTCACACAGACTTGCTGGAACAACTGTCCTCGATATTACCCAAGACCCAAACCCATTACTGGAGGCACATGACCTCATTCTCTGTGATCAGTGCAGGTGTGTCATCAAAGGATCTTCTGTGTCGACTCAATCAACACAAACACACGAGCTACGTCACAAATTGGCACTAATCAAAACAGCTACTCCGCTCATACAACTCCCCCACTATCCATCTACTCATATCACTGGCTCCATCGTGCAGGAGGATGATGGAAAAATCTGAGCAGCTGCGCGTGCTAGAGGAGTCCGCCATGCGCATTACAATCTCTGCTTCTACCATCAGTTCTGGAGGAGGACTATAGACGTTCCAGAGGCACGTTGTCAATCGCTCCCAGCAAAACAGAATGTGTCCAACGAGATGCTCACGTTCAGGCAACGGGAAGGGCAGGGCACAGGATAGCAGAATGTTACACCGTAGTCGCCACCAACTCAAACAAGGACTACTGGTACCAATAGTCGCAGAAGAAAGCAGCGACGTGGCTTCTGAAGCTCTCTCGCACATCCCCACGCTGAAAGATCGGCCGTTAAAGATGTTATATCCTCTCGTCAAAGCAGAAGTACTTTCATTCAAGAGAGAGAGCGTAAAGCACCGCTACTGCAGGCTCAGGAGTAAATGGCCGACACAGAAAGAGTCCGAATTCTA